ACTGAAAGTAAAACACTGTCAAATGTAAAACGGGAGGTAAAAAGAAAGAAAAAAAACAAAAGAAAAAATAAAAGACAAAAAGACCCAAAACAAAGCAAAACAAAAAGACAACAAATACACATGGCAATAAACATAGTGCAACAGACATGGCAACAAAGCCAGAGATGTTTGTAGGAGGGCATATGAGATATTTTTATGTGTGTGTATTTACATGGCAAGAATGCTGGTCGGGTATTATTTAATATAAGAATCAACAGTCACTGGTTGTTAGATGTAATGTGGGAAATCAGAAGAGCCATGGATAATGAATAATTTGTCCACAATGATGTTTGCTCGTTTATTGTTTTGTCTGTGTTGTTTCATAATGGGGTAGAGAATTTTGCACCATTTGTTAATTTCCCGTGGGAATTGGTCATTGAGTCCGTAATGTGTGCCTTTCCGTTCTTTTCCTGTGCTTTTGACGCATTCTTTGTAAGGATAATCACCTTTATTGGCCAAGTATGTTACACACAAGGAATTTGTTTCCCGTACAGAACTGAGGCAGCCATCTACGGCGCCAACTCAACCGATGGCTCTAACCATTGGGGGCAACGGGAGGGTTCAGTGTCTTGCCCAAGGACACTTCAACATGTGGACTGCAGGCACCGAGAGTCAAACCTTCAACCTTCCGGTTGGGAGACAACTACTCTACCCACCGCACCACTGTCCCCTCCCTTATGTTTGTAATGTTCCAGTTTGGCTATTATTGGTCGGGGTGTTTTGAACGTGACCCAAGGCAGTGTACATGGTGAAAGGTGTTCATGTTGACTGTGTCTGGTGGCATTTTTTGTTTATTCTTCATAAAGTCCTTAATCAGTGCTTCAGGGTTGTCGGGTGATTGTTCTAGAATACCGGTAAAAGGTATTCGTGCATGTTTCTGGTTTGAATGTCCAGTATTGTTTCTTTCATTATTCTGTTTTCTTTCATGATGGAGTCCATTTTTTTCACTCGGGGCTTTGACAGATACTTAGAGAAAGTAGTTTGACTGTTCTAACTTTTCAATGTAATTGTGAGCACATTCAAGGCTTGTCCAGAGTTCTTTTATTTCCTCATGAAGTGTGACCAGTAAATCGAGTTTTTTATTGATGGATGCAAGAACACTGACCTCAATGTCTGTAGATCGCTTGTATCCGTAGAAGAGGTCTTTTTCTGTTTCTTTGGTTTTGGTGTATCTTGTTGGTTTGTACTGGTGGTATCCATACTGCCATGAATGTAGTATTGGTCGATGAATGATTCTAGGTCCGACAAATCCTCCAGTATGTTAAATGTCTGTTGCGGTCATTGGCAGCAGCTTGCGATTCCGATGGATTGCTCGTGTAATACCAGTAGTGGGTTATAACGTCCGAAAAAAATAGCTATCAAAATTTTGTTTGGACTCCATGACTGTGTATCGCCATATTGAATACCCCTGCGCAGTCTTACGATCTCGCGATACTCAGTACGTCGTCCTCCTATATACTGCAAATATTCATGAAGACGCAAAATTCACAGTATAAATCTTTGAAATTCACTTTTCTCACTAATAAAGGACGAGTATGAACCTGTGTCGACTGAGAGAAGGACACACTGAGGGTTCAGGTCCAGCTACAGAAATACTGCTCCCACTCCACCGCTGTTTCGCCCTGCTGACTTCGTGTGTGTGTGTGTGTGTGTGTGTGTGTGTGTGTGTGTGTGTTGCAGGCGGAGGCTCACACCAGCAGCAGTGACAACATCAGTCAGTTTTCAGTCGACAGCATCACAAGTCTGGAGAGTAAAGAGCCGGTGTTCATCGCTGCCGGAGACATCAGGTACACACTCCACTGGCTCCCAGTAGTGATGGAGGGGCCGCACTGGGGCCGCCCCTCTGGGAGGTCACTGTTTCAGCACATTGGCCTCTTGTAACAAAGTCCATTTTTGTTTCTCTGAGATTTGTTCGCATGAGTGTTGACGGCTGGTTTCAGACCAGTTCATAAGTGTTCCTAATAAACTGACTGCATTATGTGTGCTGTGTAGCTATGGTGCTGTGAACCGCAGGCCAAGATGTGCACTCAGCTGCACACCATGTCTTAGTCTCAGGCAGTTTGCCCCTGACACGACAGCCCTGACTCGCTCTATGTACATACGACCAACACTGTTAAAGTCAGTGAAGTGTTTTAATACTTTGACCTCAGCAGAGCTGCTCTAAGTTTTCCACCCAATGGCGCTGTGTTTATTTGGTGTGAAGCCCCAGAGCTTCACTGGGTCGAGCTACTGTGCTGCTCCAGGCTGCCTTAGACTCAGCAGCTGATCTCTGCTGTGTTTGATTGCAGGCGCCGTCTGTCTGAGAACCTCGCTCACACTCCGACCACGTTCAGGAGGGACCCCGAGGACCCATCGGCTGTCGCCCTCAAAGAACCCTGGGAGGAGAAAGTCAGGTCAGCTCATGGTCCCCAGACAGGAAGTGTCTCAGCGTGTTCTTGCTGCTGTAGTAACATTCGGTTTGTGTGTGCAGGCGGATCAGAGAGGGCTCTCCATATGGTCACCTGCCCAACTGGAGACTACTGTCGGTCATCGTGAAGTGTGGGGACGACCTGAGGCAGGAGCTGCTGGCCTATCAGGTCCTGCGACAGCTGCAGGTACACACACACAGTACACATCAAGAGATCAGAACTTGTTCAAATAATAAATACATATTAAATTATCTGTACTCACACACAAACAGTGATTAAAGTGATATTCACATGTAGAAGAAGAATAAATAGTCACACTTGTCTGCTCCACATGAAAACTAAAGTTAGCACAGACAAGGTATCACACTGTGGAGAGAACCAGCTGAAACTGAGCCTCAGACTGGATATAACATTTATAAACTGTATACGGACGAGGCTAACTGAGCTATGGCAGTGCCACACTGTGCAATGTGTCATCAAAACGTTGATCTGCAGTAACAGGAGAAACTGTGACAGCAGATCACAGCTGTTCATCAGCTGCACAAAGTAAAGTGGCTAAAGGCAATGCTGCTTTTCTTCTGGCCGACCTCAACGTTACTGGAGGTGTCAGTGCAAACACCTGCTCTGGGTCCTGTTGAATCGTCCAGTGTGAGCAGTGAAGTCGTGGGTTCTGGCTGTGTGGTCAGGCCGATTTAAACGTATAGTGTGAGATAACACCTCTTGTTTGGTCAGTGACAGTCGTACAGTGTGTGCTCGGCTTGAGTCTCTCATGGAAATGCTTGTGTGCTGTTAATGGAGAATCATGCTGTTGCCCATCTACAGAGCCGTCCTGTTTATTTTGTTGTGGCATCTTGTGTCCTCAGTCAATCTGGCAGCAGGAGAGAGTTCCTCTGTGGATCAAACCCTATAAGATCCTGGTCATGTCTTCAGACAGTGGGATGATCGAACCCGTTCTCAACGCCGTCTCTCTGCACCAGGTAACCGAGGCATCATGGGACATCATGCTACAGACAAACAGTTCACACAGGTGTCGTCTCGATTTAGTCTTTCTCGTCCCTTCACCAAAGTCAGACTGATTAAACGAGGTCTTGTTCTAAAACGTCTCCAACTTCACATAATAACCCAACAGAACTTATTCCACATTTAAAAGGTGGAAAACTGTTGAGGCATCATGTAAACGTGGTCACAGCAAAGCGCTATGAACACGCTGCTAGAATGTTCAGGGTTAGGGTTTGAATCCGATTTCTATTCAAGGCCAAAGGTCCAGAACAATTATTGATGAGAAAATTACTTTTACTAAACTTGCTTATAACTTACAAGCAATGTACACTCACAGGCCACTTTATTAGGGACACCTGTACAACTGTATACACTTGAATGCAACACTTCAAAGTTCAAAGTGTTTATTTGTCATATGCACAGTAAGGAAACGCGTTTCACTGTACAATGAAATTCTTACTTTGCCGTCCACATGAATACCAAAAAATACAAATGAAATATAAAGTAGATAAATAAGTAACAAAATCTAAGGCACTTTAAGCAGCAACAAATGCAGCAATATAATAAAAATATATAAGAATATAATAGAGAATGTATTCTGCATGGGAGCAGCATGTGCACCGGCCAGAGGGTAGGGAGGCTAACAGTCCATGCTGGGGGTGGGTAGGACCTTTGAGGATGGAGGCAGCTTTCCTACGCACCCTGCGGTGGTAAGTGCTCTGCAGAGAGGGCAGTGGAGTCCTGGTGATCTTCTCCACAGTCTTTACCACTCTCTGCAGGCGCTTGTGGTCCATAGCAGTAGTGCTGCCATACCAGACAGTGATGCAGCTGGTCAAGATGCTCTCAGTAATGCAGCTGTAGAAGTTGCAAAGGATCCTAGGTGACATGCCAAACCTCCTCAGCCTCCTCAGGAAGTACAGCCCCCGTTGGGCCTTCTTGACCAGCTGTGTGGTGTTAAGTGTCCAAGTGAGGTCCTCACTGATGTGGACGCCCAGGTATTTGAAGCTGCTCAACCTTTCCACTTCGAGCCCCCGGATGAACAGTGGCCGATGAGATCTCCTCTCCTTCCTCATGTCCACTATCATCTCCTTCCTCATGTCCGTGTTGAGGCTGAGATTATTGTCCTTGCACCATGACACCAGACACTTCACTTTAACATCCGTCTTTATGAAGCTCAATGTTTGTTTTTGGTGAAACTTTAATAAATGTATAAATTCAATTACATGTTTATCAAGGTCATAGTTAAAGGTGGTGTTGTACTGGACTACATTATAATCAGAGGTGTTCCTAATATTCTGACCCTCTCATGGACATAGCTGGGGAGGACAAATAGACACCTCTGAATATATAATATATTAATGACATTTTCACTAAAACATACATTTTAAGCTTCATAAACACTGATGTTAAGGTGGAAGTGTTGGATTTGTGTTTGGATAGTGACATCCTCACCGCACTGGCAGCGCAGTGTCCACTGACAGAAGACCTGCTAGCCTTCCCTTGAGCTCTGTCACTTGTTGACGTTAAACGTTGTACATTCGCCGGCTGTCAGCATTGCCATGACAACGATGTCAAACGGGGAAACGATTATGTTTCACCGTATTCTTTAAAGTAGGAAACCTACACGTCATTATATTACTGCGTTCCTAACACAAGGTGTGGGCTGGGTCCAGACTCTGAGAAGCCCTGATCTAGACCAACTACACACTGCAGGGCGTACAGAGGACACACTGGTTTGGTCACTGGAGAAATGGACTCGGAACAGTTTGACCTGTGTGAATACTCAGAAATAAGGTTTAACAAGAATTCAGTGCAGGAAAATAAAATGTTTAGAGCTGACAACTCTGATCTCTACTAGTAAATAGTTCACATGCAGTAAAATGCTCGTGGCTGCTGATGAAGGTAAACTAGTTCGGCCTCTGAGCTCACAGACAGTTTTAAGTCTTAGTTTAGAGTAAAAGGTGACAGAGCACACTTGTACCTTTGTGTCTGGTCAAGTACTTTCTCAGATGACCCACTGGGTTTTGCTTTGTGTCGTGCAGGTGCGTAAACAGAGTCAGCTGTCTCTGCTCGACTACTTCCTGCAGGAACATGGCAGCTTCACCACCGAGGCCTTCCTCACCGCTCAGAGGAACTTTGTCCAGAGCTGCGCCGGGTACAGCCTCATCTGTTACCTGCTGCAGGTCAAAGACAGGTGAGACATGTTAGTACGTCTGGCTTTGTGAGGACACACAGACATCATGCGTCCCCTGGGGTTTTACCCAGGCCTAAGCCCGATTCTAACTTGAACCCGCTAAAAGTTTGTCACATTCATTTACAGTGGACTGCAGTTAGTCACTTTTCCAGAGTAAACACACTACAGTCTGAAAACCTGTTCAGAGTGTGAAACATGCTGACAACCTTGTTTTTCCTTTGATGGTAATAGTCCCCCCCCCCCCATTTCCAGTTTTTATGCTAAGCTAGGCTAAAGGTCCCGTACTTCCCTGTGTTCCCTCTGCAGACATAACGGGAACATCCTGCTGGACTCTGAGGGTCACATCATCCACATCGACTTTGGTTTCATCCTCTCCAGCTCTCCTCGCAACCTTGGCTTCGAGACGTCCGCCTTTAAACTCACATCAGAGTTTGTTGATGTGAGTCAACTTCATGTTGTGTTTCTGATGAGATTATCCTTTTCAGATGAGTAACTGTTAGTGTCGGCACCAAAGATGGAGACACTTAAGGTCTTTAGGGATCAGATTTAGGGTGGGGTCACGCATTCGTCAACCCTATCATAATCTAGACAACAACTGACTTGGCCTTAAAGAAAAAGCCAAGTTTCAGGGCTCATAATGTTAACTCGTGTGTTCACAGCTCAGCTCTGTGGCTCACGCAGGCCCACCTGACTCGGCCTGGTGGGGGAGTAGATATAGCTTATAGGTTTGCTTTAACAGTCGATCACAGGAATCCCTCTGTTTCTTGTTTGGTTCATTTTCAAGCCAAAGTTTAAGGACTGCAGTATTTCATTTTTAGTTGCACTGTTTTTAGTTAGCCTACTTACCTTGTAACCACAGCTGTGAGACTAGTGCATAGAGATTCATTTTGAGGAGAAACCGCTTGTAGCTTGACTGCCTTACTATGGCTGGGAAAAGGTGTCGTATGTGTTTTAACAAGGCTTTGCTTGCCCTGGACCCCTCAGCAAAAGGAGACCCAGCAAAAAGCAGTGTAATTCACATCCTGGGTAGCACCACATGAAGTGTCAAAAATCAACAAGTACCTCTTTATGAAAAATTGTAAAGGTTCCTAATCACATCTAAACATGATGTGGAAAATCCTCTTAAGTGTGCATGAATTGAAACTGGAAAAAAACCTGATTTAAATGGACCGGAGGGGAGTCAGACCAGGTCTAGTCACAGGACCCAGGAGGAACTGTAGCTAACAAGGCCAGATGACTGTAATGAAACGTTCTAGTGTGAGGCTTAACAAAGCCTCTGTTCCCACCCAGTTTAGAGCTTTGGTCTCTGGAGAAACAGCACTTTCAGTAAATCACTCATGACTCTGTGCCTTTTCAGGTGATGGGGGGTCTGGATGGAGACATGTTCATCTATTACAAGATGCTGATGCTCCAGGGTTTGATTGCCGCCAGGAAACACATGGAGAAAGTGCTGCAGATAGTTGAAATCATGCAGCAAGGTAACACATGCACACAAACACATCACCTCTTCCTCGTAGTCAGTTCAACTGTGCTTTGTTAGCCAGCCAGTCCCACCAGCTCTCAGCTGCAGAAACATTGAAAGCCAGGAAACAGATTTCACTTTTACACTTGGTTCATGGACTTTGGAGCCTTTAAGCGGGTCCACCATGGCGGTTGTTGTGAACCGCATCACAGCAATATTACACGGCCATCTGACTTGTCAGTTCTTGCCAGTGTCTTTAGTGTCAAAAGAGGCAACAGCAACTAATCAGAGTTTAACCAATTACCAGCTAGGGAGCCCACCCCAGACTCGGAAACGAGCACACGCATAGCCAGAATCACGCTCTCAAACCTGAGTCTGTGTTTACTAATCTGTGCCTGCTGCTCTCTCTCACTGACCTGCTAATGGAGCAGCAGTCATGTGGTTCATGCACCCTCAAACGCTGTGGCGGGGATTTGCTTCCAGGCTGCTGAAGATGATGTGAGTTTGAAACTGAAGACTCGTCTGTGCTGACTTTCTCTCCTCCAGGTTCCCACCTTCCCTGTTTCCATGGCTCCAGCACCATCCGCGGCCTGAAGGAGCGTTTCCACATGTCTCTGACCGAGGAGCAGCTGCAGTTGCTGGTGGAGCAGCTGGTGGATGGGTCCATGCGCTCCATCACCACCAAACTCTACGACTCCTTCCAGTACGTCACCAATGGCATCATGTGACCTGACAACGCAGAGGGAAGCAGGGTGATGCCTGATCTTTGACTGAATCCTGAAACTTCATCACATCTTTCAAAGCACTCAGTGGAGAGTTTCATGTGTTCTGATGGAAACAGAACTGAATGTGAGGAGTTTGCTAGACGACCTCGTGTGTTAGTATCACATCCATCTTCTGAGGTCACAGGTTGTCCTGGACGGATGAATGGACGGCAGCTCAGACTCAGACTTACCAGACTTTAGTGATGGCCTTGGATCTCTGTGAGGAGATGTGGTCAGTGGTTCTCTTGATCACTGCTGCCTTCAGGTGCAGCTTGGACTTCTCCAGGTCAAACCACTAAACAACCTCCGCTGGGGAGCTTGCACTTCTGTGGTGTGTCGCTGCCTGAAAGGGAAAAAAATGGCTTATAGTCGTACTGATGTGACTGAACCAGCACAAACTCGAGCTCAGCTGCTCTGACTTTAGTCCAACAGGAGAGAAAACATTCAACACTACAAGTGAAGCCAGTCCTTTGTATGTTTTCATCAATTTTTGGAACAATTTGAAGGTAAAATGCTGCTGAATCAGTTAACTGAAATTAACTTGCAGTGATGTTGACTGAGATTCTTTTGTAATATTCTCCATGCATTGCATTAAGAGGTTTTCTCATAATTATGACTTGATTGATCTCATAATTACAAGGAATGTTAAATCTTTTTATCTATATTTATTAAAACTCTAATTTTGAAAGAATTTTACAAAAGCCCATTTAAAAACTCTTAACCTCCTGAATTACGCTACCTTTACCTTGTGATGATATTAAATCTCATACAGTCTGCACATTTTTCTGTGGAATTTTCCTGCAAAAAAAGTCACATTTATGGGAAAATTCAAAACGGCATATGAGATCTTGTAATTATGAGAACTGGCAGTTCATTAATTAACCTCTCATAATAATGAGACAGTTTTCTTATAACTATATCAAGTCATAATTGTGACATCTGCTTGTCATAATTTAATTTCCACATCTGGTACTTTTTGGATGGATGCAATGTGCTTCTGTAATGGCCTACAGAATTACAGACAACTAAACGCATCACCTCCACTCTGATCGGTTTGGCAGCACCTCGTTTCAGCTGATGCTTTGACTCGAACAGAACCTAAGTATCAGTCCGATCCTACAACACAAGCAGCAGCAGGACGTCTCATAATGTCTGATGGTCGGCTCTGTTGGCTGCACGTTTAGTTTTTCTTAAAGAACAAAAACTATGAGAAATACACTAATGGCGCCAGAGCACATGGACTCAGTGCTGTGTCTTTAGGTCTGTTTTCTCTGATGTTCAAATACAAAACGGTTTAGAAAGAAAATAGACTGAAATATGTTTTGACTCTGTGTCTGACACCAGGTTCTCTCTCGACAGGATTCCTCGACATGCTGACTTTTAATTGTTTTCACCAGACATTTATCACAGCAGCCTCAAGATTTTGAAGCAAACAGAATGCTAGTATGCTAAGTATTGGCATGTCAACTTGCATGCTAACAACAGGCTAAAGGTTTGACCTGCCGTCTTCAAACCATATGGAAACAAACATGTTTCATAAAATTCAGGTTTTGTGTACAGTTTTAGTTTCTAACCCAGCTCTGGACATAAATATTGGTCCTTTTCTAAACATCTGCTAGAAAATGTTCAGTAGTTACTTAAAAAGAGCATTAGCACGCTAATGCTAAAATGCTTGTCTTTCTTTGAATTTGCAAACAAAACACCAAGTTTTTGTTACAATAATTTTGTCAGAATGAATATTGTTGAAATTATATTTTGATGCAAGAAAATAACTGAGGATTTATTGTCAATTGCTGCCTTCCTTAATTTTTGAGTATTTTAAGAGCTTTTAAGACTTTTTAAAAAGATCTTTTGATGTATTAATTTACTAAATGTGACCAGTGTCTGGTGAAAAAATAGCAATTAAAATTCACCGTTAACTGTTTATTTAATCTGCATGTTTGTCACTAAATAGTTTTTTCTGCAGCTTCAGTCTAAGACGAGTTCAAGTTCATAAGAAAATTTTGTGCATTTTTTTTTAATTGTCAAAATGTGCACTACATAACATATTAATTATAAAAGTCTACAGTGTTGAATTTAAAATGAGCATTTACATGGATGCAGTTCCAGATTTTGTTTTGTTTACGAGTGGTTTTCTGCCCAGTTGAGCCAAAATGGCTGCTAAACTGCAAGTGGTTTGCAACAGATTTATGCAACAACCTCATCATCCCCGTTACAGCTGTACATCTGTGTAGAGCTTTGAACCGACTGTTACATGTCTGTTTACAGTATATTTAACAAACGAGATACATTCCTGTGATAAATGAGCAATGGCTCTGTTTCAGTGTTTGACAAAGTTTTTCTAAAGAGGAGATCAATAATGATCAGCTTCCTGGATATGTGAACATTTTTGTCAACAGTCCACTAAAACTGTTTTCCTTACTTGTTATGAACAAGATGTTTCCAGAAGCTTTTTGTCTGTACTTTAACACCAATAATGAAACTGTAACTAATGCTGCCAACATTTGGCTTTGGCTTTATTCCAGAGTATTAACATGGATGTTAATATATTGTTTGTACATAAATATACTGCATTCCATTGCCTCATACAGTGAAAGATATTATCCGTCGATAGAGAACGTGACATCACACCATGTTGGATTTTGGCTAGGTCACACTCGTTATCCACCACAGAGATATCCCCTAAACACATCTATAAGTTAGTCTGTGTGTGAAAACACAAGTTGTTGTTCTTTTACACCATCTGAGCAAACATTAACTATAGACACTATAGAAGCCTTTCACTGAAATAAAGCCAATGTTTTGTGTTGCTGTCATATAATCATTGCTGTAGATTTGTTCTAAAGAGTTTTTGTTTAGACCACTATTGAAGAAGCACGTTATTATAAAAGCAACATCGTGTTTCCTTCTGCTAACTGTTAGCCTGCTACTTTATACGCCACTGCGCTCGACAAAGATGCAACTGTGACTGAAGTTTGCCAGATGCGCAACTTAAATACTCTTGTTCTTTTTTTCCATTTGTGAATATGTATGTATGTATATGAACTAAGTTAGTTTCCTGTAAGAAAAATCGATGCCTTGAGACGTACAGAAGGTACAAACACTTATCAATGCAACTGGAGGGACGAAGGTGTTTTGAAGTGCTTTTATATCAGATGGTATGTTTGACTGCTTTAGGGACGAGTTTCAGTACTTAATGTCCTCCTCTCCTCTATCAGCCTGTACAGGAAGAATATTTATATTTTCAAGTTGCATTTTGATAGCTACAGTAAGTAACCTTTAACATTGTCGTCTTCTCTGTGGCAGTTTTCCACTAACTATCAAATAAAACATAAAACCGCCTTCATATGAACCTAGAAGCTGCTAAAATTGTTGCTTTTCCGAGTGAAGTCTGAGTTTGGAGGGAGCAACATGCAGACTGATGAAACTCGTCCCTGCCACTAAAAACCTTTTCATTGCCTTCTTCCTCCATCAACTCCGAACACATTCAAAAATTTCATTGTGAAGAACTTGAAGTGCATTTATCCTGAATGAAAATGTTTCTGTTGTTTGTAAAGGTTTTCTTCTTCTTTTGAATTTTATTTCAGTTGCTACTAAACCTCTAACACTAAATCCATTAAAACAACAGAGGCTCATCTTTTCTTGTAATTATAGAATATGAATCTTGTTTTTAGGTAGCTTTTTGTTCTAGTTACAAAATACAAGTCGTGAATTACAAGATTCTTAATGAGAACTTGTAAAGTCTTTTTGTTAACAAGTACGAATCTGTTCATTTTCTAATTATGCAAAAAATAAGGTTGTTCAGGTTTTACTGAGACGCCTCCAACTCTGATCTACTAACAGGTTTTCTCAACACTTCTGACTTTTACAGAAGCATTTTTAGGAGCAAAGCGCATGCCAGTATCTTCACTACTTTGTCAGTTACATGCTTGTGTCATACACATTTCGAGTATGTTCGGACAGACTCGCCTGGTCAAGGTGATCTGGGTTCCACCTGGTCTCCGATCCCGTCCTGGTGTCTCCCCGTTTTTAGGTCCATCTCCTTCCTCTGGTGTGTTTCATCCTGGAAACATAAAATTCAGAAGTAAATGTGTTGCCAGAACAAACAAAACCTTTCAAATTGTATTTACCTTTTCAGTAGATCGGTTTCCAGTCAGTGGTTGACCAGATCCAGCAAAACAGTTCCTCCCCGAGTCCAAACTTGGATTTTAAAGGTAAAATGTCACCAAGTCAAAATAATAACTGACCTGTATAAAAATCTAAAAGTAAAACTTTAAACAAATTATTCTTTGACTTTTTAAATGTTTTAAATGATATGGTTTAATTAGGTAATTATTAGAAAAGTGATTGTCATCTGTACAAGTTATAAAATACTTGTTAAGACGATACAATGACAACACCAAGTATAAATGATTTTTTTACTCAAATTATGGGATACCCCAAGTAAAATTACATTTTAGGACTAAATCCTAACCTTATAATGTATGAATTATTTCCACAAAAATGCTAAAGATAATGAAATACTAAACTAAATATTTTAACTAGTAGTTTAAGTATGAATCCTGTAAGTGTAATAAATTATGATTTACCAAGTCAAGGCTGATTTTAAATTTCTACATTTATTGGATATTTAAAGAAAATATTACAGGCATTTGTATGTAAATAATATATAAACCTTTTGACATCATTTGCTTTTTTACCCTTGCGAATCATCTTTTACTACCTCAAAATGTATTAAAATTCAGCATTAAGATGATTGTGAATTTTTTTTTTTTTTTTTTACTTCAACACACACATGAAAGTACATTTTTTTGGATGGTCAAAATTATATATATCCGACCAAAAAAAATATAAGACTTAATATTTGTCAACAACAACAAAAAACGAGGAGACACTGAAAAGTTTGACTGAGACTTGTTTAATTGACAATCATGACAAACAGAGCACGGCAGCTGTCAGCC